CTATCACTTTGGTGGTGTAGGCAGCTACGGTATTATCAATGTCCATCACATTGATGGTGATGCTATACTCCAATAGGCGCGACTGTATTCGGAGCTTGGCGTAATCCACCAGCGAGTGCTGGCGTTTCGTAACTCGTACCAATGGCATGGTCACCAGCGGTATAATGGGTCCACGGGTTTGAATCTCTTGAGGGTGGTGGGAAAATAAAGATTGATAAGGTGTTGAAGTGAGGTAAGGGTGTTAGATTGCTGTGGAGGCGATTGAAAATGGAATTATGGTTGTGTTTAAAGGGTTTAAAGAATTCAGAAGTACTTGAAAGACGTTAACTCAATAGGAATTGATAATTTTTCCTTGGGAAGCTAATCTGCCTACGACGGCTCCTGTCCTTTATGTCCTCCTCAGCGTCGCGTTTAAGCTTCCCTCCTAGCCTACCTGAGAATACTCCATTCTCCCCGGCTACCCTCTTTCCTGTGACATCCTCCCCCCCTTAGTACGTACTCCCTTGGGTCCTTCCTCATGCGCAACCTTGCAATCATCCTTATGCAACACTGAGACTCGTTCTTGTGCGCAACCTTGCATTAATCCTTATGCGACACTTAGATCCCTCTTTGTGCGTATCCTTGCATTCTTCCTCATGCAACCTTTCGCGTCTCTGTAAGCGCTGCTTCGTTGGCGCTTAAAGATCTAGCCAGGTTGGTCCTAGTGACCAGTCCTCATCCGGTCACAGCCCGTAACATTGTGCTCCAACAGTTATTGTAGCATGTAGGCACCTGAAATATGATGTGGAAGGTGATGATCAATTGATAGTGATTTTAGGAGATTGTTGTTTGGGAAGTCAAGGGTGTCGTTGAAAATACATTGTGAGATTGCTTTCTTATTGTGAGAAGATGTATATAGGCATTGTAGATGGTGCAAGCACGAAGGGGGGGGGTTTTGTTTGGCAAGTATTAGCCAAGATATCCACATGATACTCATCATGCACGGACTTTACTATATCTGTTACGGCGAGCGCTAAGGATATTGGAGATCGCCGTCTGCCGAAGGTAAAGTATTAATAACTGTTAGGATTACAGTTGCTAACAAAGGATACTTAGATATCATTCGATTGGCGAGGAGCCAGGTAGTCAAAGGTTGTAGAACTACAGAATAGTTGAAAGACACGAAGTCAAGAAGTCGAGTTGACGAGCAGGCGATCAAGGCTGATACCTCAGGGTGCACAGAAGTAGGAAGAATATAACGAATAACGAAAGACTGGGAATATCGGACTGTAAGAATATACGGTTATAATATTATGTAAATGATAGATTGCGAGATCATAGATCAAAAATACGAAAGATTGAGAAGCTGGAGAGCTACTATGTGGCAGCTCCAGCTTCCTTATGTCTAACTCGAGAAAGTACTTGAACTCAACTAAGACTATAGCAAATGTAGTTATGACGCCGGCCCCTCTATCTCTAACTGTCGGAGTTTTCCCGGAACCCTTCTCTTATCACCTTTTCCTGAGAACCTTCCCCTTGTAACCTCTTCAAGGATGCCTGGCCATAACAATATCTCTGCTCTCAGTAGACTTAGACAATCAAGGGGCAGCGCGACGCCTTCCCGATGAAACACCCTCTAAAGCCTCACAGCAAGAAATTTTCGAATTCCGTAATCTCGCCTCCCAGTGGCCCTCGAAGAGAATCCTGCCCATCGCAGCCCCTAGTAAAGTCTACGTGATGTGGTCGCCTGGTCATGTGGGTATCTCAGATAATGAATTAGCCGATAAGCTGGCTGGTGAGGCTGCCCGCCAACTGGCTCCCCCTGCCGCATCTCTTGCTGGAGCTCGCACAAAGATGAAACAGCATATATGGGACCTGATATCTACATGGTGGAAAAGACACGCTCCTTCCATCTATTGTGAGTTGGGAGTGCCATTCCCCCAAAAACCTCCCAAAGAGCTACGACTCCCTCGCCGCAATCTTGGATACCTTATTCAATGCCAAACTGGACACGGAGATTTTCGCACTTATCACGATCGCTTCTGTCACGGAGACGCCCACTTGACTTGCTCCTGCGGGGGTGATAAGTCAATCACCCACCTAGTTTTCTGCCCCCTCGTTCAAGAGAGGCTAGCCTCGGCTGGTTACCGAAGAAGCCTGGGGAAGCTGGATTTACTTATTGGCTCCTCCCGTGGTGCAAAGCGTTTTTCTTCTATTCTAGAGAAGACAAAGTTCCTTTCGGAAATTTGCCCGATCCGTACCAATTGACTCATGTCCATGTGAGAGTCTTGCTGTGCAGCGCTCACAACACCTTAACAATTGCAGTTTTCAAAGCCTTGAGGCTTCCAATTTAGTGTTATATAGTTTAGTACGTAGTTGTCACCATGTCCCCCAAGGGATGGGGCCTTAGCCGTAGCTGAAGCCCGGCAGACCTTTATAAATAAATAAAAACTTCTCAGTAGACTTAGTAGAGGTAACACCTTTTCATATACTGAACTATCTAAATACAAGAAAATGTATGCGAATCAAACCGTAAGAGAGATGATTATAGTTTATCTCATCGATTTTCTCAAAGTTATTCAGTAATGATGGCACCGATCATGTGTCAGAGCTAGATAACTGAATACACATTAAATATTTAAAAAAATAGCTCTAGTATCCTTGTTGAGATGAAATAATTATTGATCTATTAATTAGAGTAAAATTGCATAAGAAAACCATTACGAACTATTACTATCTTATATACATAATTAGCAGTCCACGAGTGATCTAGTTCTTCAACGACGGTGCAAGTGTCCTCTACTGGTACCCTGATAGAAGTGAGTGATCTGTCTTCCTGCCTCCCGTTTAATGGCGGAAGATCAGCATCATGTGACTGACATCTCTTTCAACCTAACACCACACAAATGTTCTACCTAGCTGGTAAACACTAACAGCCAGGTAAATGTATGACTCATTTGCTATTTAGCTTATACTAACATTGTATATTCTAGGTTTCAACAATCCTTTATCTGATTGGATGTTAAATAATTGATTTCATTTTCCTGTCTGAGTCTATGACTATGTAGGAAATACAGGTCCTCTCTGCCTAAAGTCCAGGGATACCTTTGCTAGTAGTAGGTCCCCTCCTATGCCTCTTATGCCTTCTAAACGGCTCCCCTCAAACAGGACCACCCCTCACAAGTCCTCATTCAATCATACACTTATAGGAGCCCTTTGCCCTTTATTATCTCCCCTCTCCAGCCAACGAAACGATGGCCATTTGCGGGTGTGGCAGCCGGGAAAAATCGTAAAAACTACTGGGTGCCGAGCTCTCCTAATACGGAAATCAGGACTAAATCCGAAGACATAGTGACCCTTCCGAAGCGTTTGAAGAGGCCGGTCAATTGGGCGCTACAGACTCGTGGCCACCTCGGGAAATTGACCCTCTACCTTTCTAGCTTACTTCCAGCTCCTCCCAGAAAGTCATGCTGAAATGTCAGAAAAGTCTTGATAGAGCGTAATAGCTGTATAGTAGCTTATCCTAGCTTTTTTTGTGCCGTCTAGGGCTCTGGAGAGTGCCGTTGACTCATCGACAGTAGAAGTCCTGACTAATTTGCTGAAGCCTCGGTCTTGGCGCCCACAAACGTTCCAAAGTTGAAACCTGTTCTGTTATCCATGTAACTTACTATGGTACATGCTTTAGGTCGCGTCATAGCATATGCACGTGACTGTGGAACTAAACCGTGGGGTGTTTAGTGTGTAATGTATGTGTGGGTATACTGGACCAAACTAGAACTCGATGGAATAGAGATAATGGAATCAGCGGGAGACTGATAGACTGAGAGAGAACGAGCTGGTCATTTCTCGTAGGAGAGAAATGACAACATAAGGGAATGTTCAAGCACTAGGCTGTGAACAACACAGTAAGTCTGGAGCAAGATATAAGGAGGTCTCAACCTCCATCCATTCATTGTAACCAAGTTTCCTTTATACGAGAATATAGAGTTAAGTCTTACATATCACGAGAATACACGCGACAGCGACTATAGAGACCCACTGTGAGCATAACTTCCCCAAGAGTATCCATCGTCCTGCTCCCATATAGCCTAGTTAATATAACAAAACCCCTCGAAGATGTCAGTCACAGCATGGTCTTCAAAGACCTGCTCCCCTTCTCGCTCCACATCTCAGCCGCCAGTTCTCCCCCATATTGTTTGTCCCAACAGAGAAACAGCCTCCCCACAAGCCAGGACTAAGGCTTTGTATATTTCGACTTTACTTCCTCTTTGTGGGTATTAGTAGCGTCGTAAATTTGTAATGGGAGATAGCTGGATATTAAAGGGGCGAGCTCCTGTTTGCAATTGGAGCAACTCCATAATTGGTTGTTGAGGCGATATAATGCGAGGTTAGATAGAGGTTGAGGACTCAGATGAAAATGGTAAGAGAGGCACTATCGAGAAGTCATCAAATGGAGATATGCATGAGGTTGCGATTCTTCTTGGCTATCCCAGATATGCAGAGCATACTGAGTAATTACACTGAAACCACTGGAAGGTGAAGAATACGTCTTTGCCGGCTAACCAGTCTGAAATTGTACTTTATTCCACCCATCAATTCTTGGCAGAGACAATACATGTGCCACTAATAAAGTCGAAGAAGATCCTCTCTTCCCATAATGACAATTCAATACGTATAATCAGGTATGAACAAGGAATTACTCCCACAAGTGGCGAGCCACGCGATAAATTACGAGTCATGTAGCTTGACAGACCTACAACCCATGCAAAGAACAATAAATTATTGCTGGGCTCCTTTGCAAAGTAGAAAATCCATCATTTTAAATTGGAGACGAAATACCCGATCATTCTGAATGGTGGGTTGCTTGAGTCTTTCTACAAAAACAATTCAAAATATATATGCTTGTTGCCACCTTCAAATCTAAATTTTAAGAACTCCAAATATTTTTGAGTTCCAGATTGTGAATTTGAACAACAATATCTCCAAAACAAGTCAAGCCGGCATCAGAAACTTGATCTACAATGAAGATTAACAGTCGCGCCTTTATCATCTACCTCATGAGTCACATAAAAGTCATTGATGCCTTGAACTCATATCTCTGTCAGGATGGTTTCACTATTACCCCTCAAATGCTCTCAGATGCATTGCGTAGAGATTGGAATAGTAAATACACAAGAATGCACATCGAATATGGTAGAGCACAAAGGCGTTTTCTAATTGATCATTGTGAGGGTGGTTGTAATTGTAAGGCAATCTCCGCGACTCAAAATTTTTAAAGATTCTGATAAGGCATAGTTAAGCAGCCTGTGGTTTACTCAGTCATTGCCGACCGAAATAGGAGGATAATAAGAGTTCAAATGAAGTCATATGGCTTTTATAAAAATTGTACGGAGATAATTTAGTTAAGGTAATGAATAAACCTAAGCTTGCAGTAATTTTTTCGTTTTTTATCTAACGACGTGTCAGTTCATAGCACGACCATGAGTTATTGTATTTTCCAGCTCATTCTTCTTCTTTCATCCATTTACTAGTTCAATGCGCGAGGCCTCATGGTGCGACCCTCAGTATCTATTAGCAAATATGAACCATGTAATCATTCGAATTCACTATTAAATTTTGCAAGCTATTAGATTTTTTGTAGAGGTCTTTCATAATTACAAACTCAATAGGGACTTTGGTTCAACTCTATTCCAATCTTAATTATCAGGCTAAAGCCCGATATTCATGAGGCTTGACACGGTAGCTTGTTCTCAAAGGACACATCTACCACTGAAGTTGGCTTTATGTGGCCAGAAATTTGTATGATTGAAAAATTAGAATATCAAGGGAAGTTTTTGCTTCCTAAACTCAACGCTCTGCCCCTAATCAGGTCTCTCACATAAAAGCTCGCATGTACTAAATGTATCCCAGAAAACCTCAGTCTTTCCTGTTATGAATCTACTTATTGGCAGAATTTCGAAGTTGTTGAGCTGCAGAGGTCGAGTCAATTTCGACGAAGACAAATTATCGAAGGTTCGAGGCTACGAAGTTACGAAGGTGCGAATGTCAAATATGCAAAGGTGCGAATGAAGGTAATCGAGGCTCAAATTATCAAAGGTTACGAATTCATATGTTCAGATTATCATGTTATCAAAACATCGAGTTCCCAATAAGCAAATTATACAATAAACATAAAAGATTGTTAGAACTAAAGAGCCAACTCAAATTTCCAGCCTGAATAAATCCAAATCCCGTTGCCTCAGGCCTAACCGAATTAAGAAGATAGCCCCTGCATCACCACATTCAGATTAAATCTAACAAATTCATAACAGGTGATCTATGAAGGTGATGCTAGATGTGCATCCCGACAATTGATAATATCATCTAATGGATGATGTGAAGTATGATATTATATGGATAGATTTATTCACTAAACTCGGCAGGTGAAGAGATTGTAGAGTACATGAACAGCGTCTGTGCACCAGCCTGTATTTTCCACCCTTTCCTTAATCCAGCAGCCCATACTCCGTTCTCCTGTCTCGTAACAACTCAACCAGGCCAGCACAACATATGTAGCATTAGTGTGAGTTTACCAATCTTGATACGTGCAGTTCCGAGACTGTCAAATGATGATGCTCCTACTGCTTGATCAAATCTAAATGGCTTAGTGTTGAAATATGATATATCTTGGAATGCCAAGAATAACTTATTAGTAAGTCCGGCTAATTTGACTATCAAATTCCCCATTCTATATCACTGTTATCAATACATCATTCACCGAAAGTTTAATGCGCATTAGCGTTTATTTAACACTAGCATTCCAGCGGATGACTATGTCTCAAATGCAGGTTATAGTTTTCTCTGTGACGGTCTTAAAGTGGCGTTTTATTCAAACTGAACTCAGAGCTAGATACAAATGAAAATCTTAAAGTAACGAGCAGAGACATGACTGAAAGCCTCCTATTTATTTACAAGACTATGATCTCGTTCCCTCATTTCATACCATTTTCAAAATAGATCATGACCTGTCCTCCGACAAACACCAGCATCTCCGTCTATTTTAATTCAGCTTCATTTTAATGTTAGTAATTTTAATTATTAAAATAATTATGATGCATGTGGCTTAGATGACTCACGACTGGTGTTCGAGTCGTCATGTCTGCAATCTAAATTTGTCATTTAAGAATAGATTTGCATGAACTGGGCCAAGGCCTATACTTGGGTCTAATGAGTCGTGGAGGGGTTCATGACATGTATGATGTTTAATATGGTTGGAAGAGTTCAAGCCTTATTTGTTAGGCAGCAGCCTAATGATAACCAGGTACGAGCCTGTGACATTCTCGTATCTTTTACCGACACACATGTATTTAGTTTTATATTCCTGGCCCATATATGTGTATGTACATAGATCTACATCTACATGGATCATAACTTACGATCCATGGAGATTGATAAATACTGGTCAAAAACCACAGTTGATAAGATATGCAAACACGCAATCTCACTCTTATCATCTCGGTTTTTACTCTGAACCATACATCTAAATACAATTGTTTCCACTCGGATCTTCCTCTCACAACCCCTTACAAGACTTACTGCATCGGTCTAACCGCCGACACTGATTCCGCTACAACCTCCATCTTCGCTCAAGCTCATAACTTTAACACTTAGTAGTTTTGTTGATAAATTCAAAAGAAGATTCATGTGGCACAAAATGGTGCGAAGCACCAGTGTCGTAAATTGTACTGCTTTCATCAACTTGAGCAGTTGCAGCAACTCTATTTCTCCCTCCGCTAGAGTTTGTGCTACCCCGACTGTTTCTAGATGCAAGTTCGGGGTGTTGTCTAAAACAATCTTTGTTCTGGTGTTGGTGACAACACTGCTTGTGGATTGCCTCAGGATCTACGTTCCGTGTAATGGGAAGGGATGTTGCATGCACCACTTGGGCTGGCAACATCCGATTTCCTGTAACAGAACGTAGTGATGACATCATTGTCTGCAATGGAACATATTCATTATTGGGCTCATATATTCTGGTGTCCATCCAGTTGTTCAACCATTCAATCCTCTTGGTTCCCATCACAAATATGGCTGCTGCCTGACCATCTCCAATATGGTAACCAGAGCGCTTTGGCGCAGCATGCGACGGTAATATTGTGATAACGAGGTTATTAGAAGTCTAAGAATTGTCACAATGGGTGTAACAGTCAACTTGGGTGGATGTAGGATAGCACTTTAAGTCTAACGTGAAGAAGACAGATATATATTGTAGATCTGCTATATTGATGACTATTGAATATAAGAGAGGAAAAGGTTGATCATATACAGAGGTCTAGCAGTGAGTATTTATACACAAAGACAATATACACAATATACCATCAATAGCAATAACTGCCAACCATTCAGCCATTCAACAACTATGTCATTAGATATACCTGTGTCATATTATCATATAATCATGTATGGTTGAGATATTGGTGTTTTCATTGCTGTGTGCCGATGACGTATCATTGACGCAGGGTCGCTTGTCTTGTTGGTTCACTTGCCCAATACTAGCCATTCCAAGTTGTGTGATCTATAAGTGGGTCGGATCACAACAGGTAATGCGTCCGCTGCTGTCAGGATTATTGGCTTAGCTTGGAGAACACGGGTCGGAACGGGACAGTATCAGGACCAATGTAGTCGGGATAGGATGTGATCGGAATGGGACGAAGGCGGGTCGGGACAAAGACGGAACAAGACGGAGACGGAACGGGGTTGAGTCGGGGTATAAGGTAAAGCTTATAATAATCGGATCAATCTAAAGTCTAGAATAATTACAAGACAAAAAGCTACAGAACAAATCCAGTCCTAGACCTTCCTTAAGTACTCAAGAGCGGCTACTACAATCAGGGGTATGATAATCTACAGCTGTAACACAGCAGCTGATTGCTTATGTTGATTAGTAACTGTTGCTATCATAGTTCTGAGGGCACGTTGATGATGAAAGCCTACTAATAATGACGTTCTTGGCCTCAATCTCCCCCAGTGACCATTGTTCGAGTTTAATTTCATGCTCGGTAGACAGGTTAGGGAGATCTTCGGGGCTCATATTACTAGAACTAGCGTCGACAGGGGGCGTGCACTGGTCGTAGTCCAGGCATCTTGTGGAATACGTGTCCCAAAACATTGCGTCGTGCGAGCTTTGATTGAAGACTTGTCTTCCACTTTGTAAATGAAAATCCCAGCTAGAGAATGATATTGTTGTCTTCTTTTGCCATAGTTGTTTAATACTTGTACGTGTTGGTGTGATTTTGGCACAGCGGAATCGCCCGGGCTCATAACCTATTGTGGTTATGAGCTTAGCTTAGTATCACTATGCATGCTGACCTTGTACGAGTATATAGATTGATGAGTTTCAGGTTGTGGTTGAAGGTGTGTCTGAGGTTCACTATGCTTGATTGTTCTATACTAATTGTGTGCCGAGCACTCTCTACTTATACTCATGTGCAGCCGCTAGTCGGCTCCTGACCACATGAGCTTCCTCCTGCAGATATTCCAAACAATAAAGGAACTACACAAATAGCGTAAACATCTAATCACGTTATGTACATGCAAGTGTCCTAGCTGTATAACATGCCCATCACAACACAGTCGCATTGTTATGTTTTGCCCAGGGTGACCTAAATAATCATGAAGCAGATTTGCTTTGATCAAAGAACTATTTGCAGACTCTAATGTTTCGGAATTTATCCAAACTTTATTCAATCAAACACCTGTCACGGAATGTGGTTGTGATCTAATCAATCAATCGAAATATACGAAGTTTATTCTGATTTCCTTGTCACGGGTACTAGCGTTGGCATGGTGATACCACTAGCGAGGCAATTGGGTGAGCACATGTACATGTAGATTCTGTAGACTGTTTAGTTTCTCCCTTATGCAACTACAAATATATCACCCTGAAGACTAAGTACTGCCCGTGATAGTTAGTTGCATCTCTTTAATTGCACGCGCGCTAGGTTGCTTTTTCAGTCCGAGTTAAAAAAAAATTGTTGCGTGTCGCAATCCTTTCAATCTACAGCCCTTGTTTTTTACACCGAGCCACCAAGTACCGAAATCAACGATGAGCCGAATTGCCAAGCTACCTAGAATTTGAACCGAGTAATTGAGATCGGGATAAAGACCTTATTCCTGTGAAGCCGAGACTATGGAGAATCCCTGGGGAGAACAAATGAATGAAGCTAGTAACATCCCAGCTCCAACTCAGCAATTAGAAAGTAGACATGACATAGCCTGGCGAGCCTTAGCTGAAGTGATGGGAAATTACCCAACACTGGGAGAAATATTTGATGGTGTAGGGTTTGAAAAACGAGTAGACCTTTCAAGCTTGGCTGATGCTCTAGTCGAATTCCGACCAATTTTTCACGAGATGTTCAGCCTT